TCAAAGGGAATGCTTCCAGTTTTTGCCCATTCAGTATGATATTGGCTGTTGGTTTGTCATAAATAGCTTTTATTACTTTGAGATACGTTCCATCGATACCGAGTTTATTGAGGGTTTTTAGCATAAAGGGCTGTTGAATTTTGTCAAATGCCTTCTTTGCATCAATTGAGATAATCATGTGGTTTTTGTTTTTGGTTCTGTTTATGTGGTGAATTACGTTTATAGACTTGTGTATGTTGAACCAGCCTTGCATCCCCGGGATGAATCCTACTTGATCATGATGAATAAGTTTTTTGATTTGCTGTTGCAATCGGCTTGCCAATATTTTGTTGAAGATTTTTGCATCTATGTTCATCATGGATATTGGCCTGAAGTTTTCTTTTCTTTTTGGGTCTCTGCTGGGTTTTGGTATCAGGATGATATTGGTCTCATAGAATGATTTGGGAAGGATTCCTTCTTTTTGGATTATTTGGAATAGTTTCAGAAGGAATGGTACCGGCTCCTCTTTGTGTGTCTGGTAGAATTTGGCTGTGAACCCATCTGGACCTGGGCTTTTTTTGTGTGGTGGGCTCTTAATTGCTGCTTCGACTTCTGCCCTTGTTATTGGTCTATTCATAGTTTCAGCTTCCTCCTGGTTTAGGCTTGGGAGGACACAGGAGTCCAGGAATTTATCCATTTCTTCCAGGTTTACTAGTTTATGTGCATAGAGTTGTTTGTAATATTCTCTGATGATGGTTTGAATTGCTGTGGAATCTGTGGTGATTTTCCCTTTATTATTTTTTATTGCATCTATTTGGTTGTTCTCTCTTTTCTTTTTAATCAGTCTGGCTAGTGGTGTGTCTATTTTGTTGATCTTTTCAAAAAACCAGCTCTTGGATTTATTGATTTTTTTGGAGGGTTTTTCGTGTCTCAATCTCCTTCAGTTCAGCTCTGATCTTAGTTATTTCTTGTCTTCTGCTGGGTTTTGAGTTTTTTTGATCTTGCTCCTCTAGCTCTTTCAATTTTGACAATAGGGTGTCAATTTTGGATCTCTCCATTCTTCTCATATGGGCACTTATTGCTATATACTTTCCTCTAGAGACTGCTTTAAATGTGTCCCAAAGATTCTGGCATGTTGTGTCTTCGTTCTCATTGGTTTCAAAGAACTTCTTTATTTCTGCCTTCATTTCATTGTTTATCCAGTCTACATTCAAGAGCCAGTTGTTCAGTTTCCATGAAGCTGTGCGGTTCTGGGTCGGTTTCTGAAGTCTGAGTTCTAACTTGATTGCACTATGGTCTGAGAGGCTGTTTGTTATGATTTCAGTTGTTTTGCATTAGTTGAGCAGTGCTTTACTTCCAATTATGTGGTCAATTTTAGAGTAGGTATGATGTGGTGCTGAGAAGAATGTATATTCTGTGGATTTGGGGTGGAGAGTTCTGTAAATGTGTATCAGGTTTGCTTGCTCCAGGTCTGAGTTCAAGCCCTGGATATCCTTGTTGATTTTCTGTCTGGTTGATCTGTCTAATATTGACAGTGGAGTGTTAAAGTCTCCCACTATTATTGTGTGGGAGTCTAAGTCTCTTTGTAAGTCGTTAAGAACTTGCCTTATGTATCTGGGTGCTCCTGTATTGGGTCCATATATGTTTAGGATCATTAGCTCTTCTTGTTGTATCGATTCTTTTACCATTATGTAATGGCCTTCTTTGTCTCTTTTGATCTTTGTTGCTTTAAAGTCTATTTTATCAGAGATGAGAATTGCAACTCCTGCTTTTTTTTGCTCTCCATTTGCTTGGTAAATCTTCTTCCATCCCTTTGTTTTGAGCCTTTGTGTATCCTTGCATGTGAGATGGGTTTCCTGGATACAGCACACTGATGGGTTTTGGATTTTTATCCAATTTGCCAGTCCATGTCTTTTGATTGGTGCATTTAGCCCATTTACATTTAGGGTTAATATTGTTATGTGTGAATTTGATACTGCCATTTTGATGCTAGCTGGCTGTTTTGCCCGTTAGTTGTTGTAGATTCTTCATTATGTTGATGCTCTTTAGCATTTAGTGTGATTTTGGAATGGCTGGTACTGGTTGTTCCTTTCTATGTGTAGTGCCTCTTTCAGGAGTTCTTGTAAAGCAGGCCTGGTGGTGACAAAATCTCTGAGTACTTGCTTGTTCGCAAAGGATTTTATTTTTCCTTCACTTCTGAAGCTCAGTTTGGCTGGATATGAAATTCTGGGTTGAAAGTTCTTTTCTTTAAGGATGTTGAATATTGGCCCCCACTCTCTTCTGGCTTGTAGAGTTTCTGCTGAGAGATCTGCTGTGAGTCTGATGGGCTTCCCTTTGTGGGTAACCCGACCTTTCTCTCTGGCTGCCCTTAGTATTTTCTCCTTTATTTCAACCTTGTTGAATCTGACGATTATGTGCCTTGGGGTTGCTCTTCTTGCGGAATATCTTTGTGGTGGTCTCTGTATTTCCTGCAATTGAGTGTTGGCCTGTCTTGCTAGGTGGGGGAAATTTTTCTGGATAATGTCCTGAAGAGTATTTTCTAGCTTGGATTCATTCTCTTTGTCCCCTTCTGGTACACCTATCAAACGTAGGTTAGGTCTCTTCACATAGTCCCACATTTCTTGGAGACTTTGTTCATTCTTTTTTGCGCTTTTTTCTCTGATCTTGGTTTCTCGTTTTATTTCATTGAGTTGATCTTCGACTTCTGATATTCTTTCTTCTGCTTGATCAATTCGGCTATTGAAACTTGTGCATGCTTCGCGAAGTTCTCGTATTGTGTTTTTTAGCTCCTTTAATTCATTCATATTCCTCTCTAAGTTATCCATTCTTGTTATCATTTCCTCGAATCTTTTTTCATATCTTTTTTCAAGGTTCTTAGTTTCTTTGCATTGATTTAAAACATGTTCTTTTAGCTCACAAAAGTTTCTCATTATCCACCTTCTGAAGTCTAATTTCGTCACAGTCATTCTCCATCCAGCTTTGTTCCCTTGCTGGTGAGGAGTTTTGGTCCTTTCTAGGAGGCGTGGTGTTCTGGTTTTGGGTGTTTTCCTCCTTTTTGCGCTGGTTTCTTCCCATCTTTGTGGATTTATCCACCTGTTGTCTGAGTAGTTGCTGACTTTTCGATTGCGTCTCTGAGTGGACGCCCAGAATGTTGATGATGAAGTATTTCTGTTACTTGGTTTTCCTTCTACCAGTCTAGCCCCTTCACTGTATGACTGCTGAGGTCCACTCCAGGCCCTGCTTGTCTGGAGTGCACCTACAGCAGCTGCGGAACAGTAAGGGATGCTACCAGTTTCTTTTTCTGCTATCTTTGTCCCAGAATGATGCCTGCCAAATGTCAGTCTTTTGGATATAGAGGGGTCAGGGAGCTGCTTGAGGAGACAGTCTGTACTTTATAGGAGCTCAAGTGCTGAGCTGTGAGCTCTGTTGTTCATTCAGGGCTGTTAGGCTGCTATGTTTAATTCTGCTGCAACATAACTCATTAAAAAAACCCTTTTTTTCTCAGATGCTCTGTCTGGAGGGGGGGTTGGGGCTTTCCTTGTGAGTGTCCACCGCGCTGTCCTGCCCAGCTAGGAGGCAGTCTAGTCACTATTTGACTGCCAAGGCTCCGCCTTGCTGGTGTGAGGTTCGCCCTGTTGCTGCAGGCTCTGCCCTTCTGCTGTGGTCTCCGCCCTGCTGCCACGGGCTACGCCCTGGGGCGGAATCTCTCTGTTGTAGCGGTTTGCCTCGGTAATGGCGGATGCCCCTCCCCCACGGAGCTGCGGCCTCAGGGAACCCCTCCACGGGGAGCGTTTAGAATCGCCGTTTTGTTTGTCCCACTGCGCTACCCCAAACGCTGTCACCCTGTAATCTCCTGGGCTGGCTCACTGTCCAAGTCCCGTTCAGTCTCAAGTTCAGCCCTCCCAAGTCTCAGGTTGCCGGCCCAACAGGGCACCCGGACGAGCGTGCTTTGTGCAAAGCGCTGTGTAGCGCCGCCATAGCACGGGCCGCCTTCGCACTGGCGGCCAGCTGCGCCAGCCAAAACCTCTGCCTGGCGTCCTGCGTCTCCTCTATACCTAGGAATTTCCCCGTTCTGTGGGCAACAAAGATCCGTCTAGAAATGCGGCCCTGACTCACCCACTCCGCGCATTGACCATGAGCTTCAATCCTGGGTTGTTCTCACAGTGCCATCTTGAGTCCCCTCGGATCGGATTTTTTCATTTTAAATGTACTTAAAAAAAATTTATTTGGCCGGGCACGGTGGCTCATGCCTATAATTCCAGCACTTTGGGAGTCTGAGGCAGGTGGATCACCTGAGGTCAGGAGTTCAAGACCAGCCTGACCAATATGGAGAAACCCTGTTTCTACAAAAAATACAAAATTAGCCAGGTGAGGTGGCACATGCCTCTAATCCTAGCTAATTGGGAGGCTGAGGCAGGAGAATTGCTTGAACCTGGGAGGCGGAGGTTGTGATGAGCCGAGATGGCGCCATTGCACTCCAGCCTGGGCAACAAGAGTGAGACTCCGTCTCAAAAAAAATTAAAATTAAAATTAAAATGTATTCAGAACCAGCGGTATGGTTCAGGCCTGTAATACTGGCACTTTGGGAGGCTGATTCAGGAGATGGCTTGAGGCCAGGAGTTCAAGACCAGCCTGGGCAACATAGTGAGACTCTGTCTCTACAAAAAACAAACAAAAAATAGCCATGTGCAGTGGATGGCACCTGTATTCCCACCTACTTAGGGGGCTGAGCCAGGAGGATCACTTGAGCCCAGGAGTTCCAGGTTCAATGAGCTGTGATTGTGCCACTGTACTCCAGCCTGGCCAATAGAGTGAGACCCTGTCTGTCTCTGTCTCTTGTCTGTCTGTCTGTCTGTCTCTCTCTCTCACTGTCTCATATATATATATATGTGTGTGTGTGTGTATATATATATATATAAAACTTTGATAACAAAGAAGTAGCCTTTGTTTCATTATCATAGTCATTTGAACAGTTTAAAATGTGAACGATAAATTTCAATGATTGTATTTTTCCTTTTCAGATAGGAACCAAGGCTTTAGCCTTCTCAATTCATTGACTGGAACAAACCATAGCATTGGGTCAGCAGATCCCTGCCACTCAGAGGTAAAGGATTTTCTTGGATCTTTTTTTCTCTTTGGCTTTAATTTCTCGTCATTATGAATCTTTACACATTCATATTTTTTTCCTTTGCATTTAAAAGGTGACAGGGAATGTTAAAAATAGAGGAAAGGAGAGTCTAAAACAGCCCTTGCTAAAGCAGTAAGCCCTTTCAGAAGTTTACAACTTGGGTTTTATTTTTACTAGGGTGCTTTCTAAAATATACTAGGATTTCCCTGAGGCATTAATTTGCCTCCAGATCTTTAAACAAAAAATAAAATTGATGGTGCTTTCTTAGTACTTTCTGTGTGAAAGACCTTGGCAAATCTGAGGCAAGGTCCCTACCCTCAGTGAGCTTGTAGTCCAGCTTCAACCCTGTGTCCTCAAGAACTTTGTTCCAAGTTTACCTTGGTCAGCAGCTAGAGGCAAGAGCAAACTACATGGTGCCACATCGTCTTTCCAGGGATCTTTTTACTCAGCCTCTGAGCTATTTGTGTTACATTTCACATTTTGAATCTTAAATGAGATAAATGGATCTTAAATGAGACAAACAAAAAGCATGTTTTAATGGTCTAAAGCAAAGCCAGTGCTTTCTAGTTCTTTCTTGGGGGACGTACTCCTGGGTTAGTGAATTTTTAGCCTTTATTTTTTAATGTGATCTTGCTCTTCTTTTTTTGCCTCTAGTTCCTATTACTAGTTTTTAAAGCCAACCAAGGACTGAAAGTGTGAGCTTTTTTGGATTTAGTTCTGAAATAATTACTTATGTGTATTCTCCTCAACAGCAACCCCACTTGCCAGCAGCAGAGAGTACTGCATCCCTCTCAGATCATCTGGGTGGTGCATCTAACACAGCAGATGCCCAGGTTGATAACCTTGTGGGTAAGTTCCTCCTTTGGCTACCAAGAGAGTTTTGTGCAACTTGGAATAGGTATCTGGCAGAAATCATTGAGGGGGAAGTTGACTTTAAACACAGAGAAGGGAAAAAAATTGATAGTGTACCACACGTGAATGTGAGCCTTGCCAGTGGCTATCAGAAAAAGGAAGAATAATAAATACATAACAATATGTGGGTGCCATTTTCTCTGGAATTCTCTTAGCAGGATCTTGATTCACATAATCTTAGCTAAGGCACACACAGAACCAGGTGGCGAAACAGCTAGCTCTGTATCACAGTTTTTTCATAGTATTTAACAGTAGTCAGAATTGATGGTGACACGAATAATACAACTTTATATGTGTAAGCCCTTTTACATTTTTTTAAAACTATTTTATGTCCCCTTTCCCATTTGGTAATGAAGTTTTGCAGAGAAGTTATTTTATGGAGATGAAGCTAAAGCACAGAGAAGTTTAATAACTTGTTCAAGGACATCTAGCAAGAAGGGCCTGGAGCCGAAAGCAGAATCCAATATGCCGTCCAAAAGCCAGAAAACCAAGGCGCTTACTTGACATAACTATAAGTCTTCTTCTGCTGGGGAACTACTGATATTCCTACTTTATCTTTATGCTACAGAGGGCTCATGTGCAGTCATAAATTTTTTAAATGATTTTTTTTCTTATTATAAGATAATTCATGTAGAAAACTCAAGTGGTTATAGAAACATATTAAGAAAAAATATGTATATATATTTTTTCTCTACAGTTTATTCAACCTTATCTTCTCAATTGAATCCTTCCCATTGGCTTTTAACCTGCCAAAGTCTCTGCCATTAAAACAAACTAGTAATTACACTGGGTGCAGAAGTCAAGCACTAACCTAAGTAACTTTAGAATACAGTAATTGGACTAGATACCATAAGGCTAAAAACAAAATGAATTGAACACAAATACAGGACTCTACTCAATAAATTTTTTTACATATAGATATTTTATATACCACACATATACTGACATATGGAAAATAAGAAGATATAGATAGTGAGAGCTAGGTTTTTCAGTGCCAGAGGGAAAAGGTTACAAATAAGGAAAAGAGAAGGCTGAGATGTACCCTTTGGTACTGGAGTGGAATCTAATATTGATATGAACTCATGGTTTTAAAAATATATTTACAGTTAGAAAATAAATACAGATGTGTGTGTATGCATGTATCAGTATACACACATGTATTTCCTAGTTCTGTCCATGGAGAGGGCCTAGAAGCAGCAATACTACCATAGCAGTGGACACACTTAGCACCCAGATCTTGCTTTCTAAATATCATTCTCCAATAAAAGGAACTAGGGCTCCTTGGAGAAGGGGTTGATTCCAGGGCTTGGGCAGGAAAAATATAGCATGACCCTGGAGCATCTCATGGTACCAAAAATTAAGAAAATTCTCAAAAAAGAATGGGACATGCTGAAAGGGCATAGGGACCAACCTGAAAGAGCTCTAGTGGCTAAATCTGGAACAATTTGACCAGCAAAATAGATGAATATAGTATTAAGTTATAGCCCATAGAATAAGCTAAGTATCCATGAGTTCATACTAATATAAATAAATTATTGAATAAACAAATGAGAAAGAAAAGGACAGCATCTCTTACAGAAGAATCCCAATTAATAAATGAAGAAGGCATGAGGAAAATAGGAAACCATCCATAGGCACAAAACACAGTAATAGTTGTAGCAGGCAAGATCCACTCATGGATGTTAAAGAGTAGTGGAGAAAGTGAGGAGAAGTAGTGTATCTGCATAGCCAAAAAGTATCTCTCTCAAGATATTTATTTATCACAAAGGGGAAAATAGTAACTTTACACTGGAGAAATCCATCAGATACCAGCCACTCTATGTAATGAAGGTTAACATCACAGTAATAAGACATATTGACATAATATCCCTCCTGATAGAATGCACTGAGAAGGTGGTCTCACCAAAAATGTGTAACTGCAATCTCCTAAGAAAACATCTGACAAACCCAATTAAGGGACATATACAAAACAACTGCCCATACTCTTAAAAAGTGTCAAAGTCATGAAAGACGATGAAAGACTGGGGAGATCTGACATTTAAATTCCATGCAGGGTCTTGGAACAGAGAAAGGATATTAGTAGGAAAACCAGTGGAGTCTATGGTGTGGTTAATGGCATTATACCAAAATTAACTTCTTGATTTTTATAATTGTACCATGGTCATATAAGATGTTAACACTAGGGGAAAGTGGGTAAAGAGCATATAGGAATTCTGTATTCTATTTTTGCAAGTTTTTTTTTTTTTAAAGACTAAACTAAAAAAAAAAAATTTTTTTTAACAAAACCAAACCAATAAAAACTAAACACTTCCTCAACCCCATGTCTTCCTCCATTATCTCTTTACTAAACTTGTTTTCATTCCTCCCATTTGCTCCTCAGTTCACTTCTGTCTATTTTTTGCGCCTGGTATGCCACTACAGCAGCTCTGTGAAAAGGCCAACAATAACCTCCATGCCACTAAATCTAGTAGATATTATCCAGTCCTCATCTTGACCTTGTGGTGGCATTCAGTGTTAAGGATTAGTTCCTCTTTGAAACAATCTTCCCTTGCCTCACCCAATGCAGTGTCTTCTGGTTTTCTTTCTACTTCTCTGATTATTCCTTCTCTTTCTTTGGTAGATTACCCTCCTTTATCCAGTCTTTAAATATTGTCATTCTTCAGTGCTTCATTTAAACTCCTCTTCCAAATCTATATTTAGGCATGGAGTGATTCTGTTCACATTAACAGTGCAATTACTATGTATACACAGATAAATGGCAGGCTTTTATGTTCAGCCTGTATACCGACTTGCTACATGACATTTCCATCAAATGAAAGCAATATGTTAACCAACATGCATTTTTTCCTTCAAATTGTATATAAGGCATTGTAATAGATGCAAATAATTATAAGTCATTATCCTATCTTCATGGAGCTTAATCTAAAAAATACAGTTAGGACTTTTACTGTAATGGTTAAGGTCATAGGCATTGGAGTCCTGTACAGCTTCAGATCATGGCTTTATTACTAGTAATGGCCTGACCTTGAGTAAATTAACCTCTCTTGGCGTTAGTTTCCTCTTCTGTAAAATAAGAATGGTAAATGTTTCCTCATAGGGTTGTAAAGATGAAATGGAACCAGATAAGTTAAAGCATTCAGTGATAAAGACAAAAAACAAACTCTCTCGTATGGTGGTAGTATTTATTAAAGTAGTGGTGGAGCAATGTTAGAATACAAGGTAACATGCAAGTGCTAAGACAGTTCTAGAAACATTAAGTGTAGAAAGAATTCTAAGAAAGGAGACCTATGAACTGGGATGGGCAGAGAAGACATTTTAAAGGTAGTGAGCCTGGAGTAGAGAAGGAGTTAAAATTCTGATTAAAAACAATTTAATAAAGAAGCAACGTGCTGAGGTAGAAACAGTAAAAGATTTGTAGTAAGAAAATACAAATTTAAATCAGCTCTACCTCTGAATAGCTGTAATTTTAGATGAGTTCATTTTTAAATAAAGGTTTTCTTTCCATATCATTATCTGTTATGAGATAATGATATCTGTCCTAATCACCTTGTATAGTTGTAATAGATGTGAAAATATTTGTTGTACAGTAAAATATGGTATAAACTAATTTATTGGTGAATCAGTGTACCTTGGATTCAGGTCATAGGCATTGGAGTCCTGTACAGCTATCTTCAGATCATGGCTTTATTACTAGTAATGGCCTGACCTTGAGTAAATTAACCTCTCGGCGTTAGTTTCCTCTTCTGTAAAATAAGAATGGTAAATCTTTCGGAGCTGGAAACACCTATGTCTGAATCCACTTACTAGCTGTGACTTTAGCAAGTCACTTCAGCTCTGAGCTGTGGTTTTCTTATCTTTAAAATGGATATAGTACGCCTTACTTCATTACAATATTGTGAGGATAAATAGTGACTCTTCATTTGTGAGGGCCCATTATCAGTCAAGCAGAGTGAGGGACCATGAGCTGGAAAGATGGTGTATACTGGGCATTCGATTATTGGTGACTTCATCAAGGCCAGCGTTTATTTGCTTTGGAATTCTCTGAGTGTGGCACATATGCATATAATGTGACAAATCCCTATTTCAGATCCCATGTTAGATCTGGATATTCAAGAATTAGCCAGTCTTACTACTGGAGGAGGAGATATGGAGAATTTTGAAAGACTGTTTTCAAAGTTAAAGGAAATGAAAGGTAATCAGATTCAACGTGTCTAACACATTCCCGTGTTGATGCTCATCTGTTTTATGTAGTAGCATTTGATTTTGTTAACTGCTGGATTGAATTCCTTGTTTTGGTCTCAGCTGTCTTGAGAAACTTAGCTACTTGAGGGACTTTGTCATCCTCTGTTGGTTTAAAAAAAAATACCCTGGGGAAAAGTTTTTCTTCTTCATTATCTTTCCTTTTACTTTTCCTGCTTTTGCCTTCCTCTGTTTCTTCGCATGTGTTACATAAGGTGGAATCCGTAAGAGCCCTACCATTTTACTCACATCATTCCCATCTGGAAAATTCCTAATAGCTGGAATGACTACGTCATAAACAAATGTCTTTGAAACCTATCTCCCATCTTCTAATGTTAGAATATTCATATACTCAATTATCCTGTGGTATTAGAAAAACTTCTTAAGATGTATTTTCCCCCTAGATAAGGCTGCGACGCTTCCTCACGAGCAAAGAAAGTTGCATGCAGAAAAGGTGAGACAGTCAGGTATTTACTGGGTACCTATAAAAGGTCCAGTGCTATTCTAATTATATATCATACTTGTGTGCCTCTAAAGGGTCTTAGTGTGAGCTTTTTGCCGAATCTTCTAACTAATTAAATATATATACAGTCATAGTATAGTTGCTGCAGTCAAACCAAGATTTTCCGCCTGTATGGTGACGACTCGGGATGTTTGCCTTTCTAACTATTGGGCCAGAAAACTTAGTTGTTTTGTTATTACCAACACAACACATGTTGTTGGCAGGAAACTTGTATGGTTGATGGTGTTCCATGATATGAATGTGTCATAATTTATCCTGTTCCCTCTTGGACATTTAGGTCACATGCATTTTTTGCTTCTATAAATAATGAAGCTGTGCATATCCTTAAACATCACCTTTGTATACAACCCTAAATACATCCGTGGTATAAATTTCTAGATGTGGCAGTCATGGGTCAAAGGGTATTCAAGGGTTTTGATATGTGTTGCCAGAGGACTGGAGGGCAAAAGTGCAGAATTTTAGGTCTCGGTGAGTTGAAGGTAGGACATATGAAACAAGCTGAAATGTAGTTCTTGCCTAAAATTTGTTGTATGCTTCTCTCTACAGGTGGCCAAAGCATTCTGGATGGCAATTGGGGGAGACAGAGATGAAATTGAAGGTCTTTCATCTGATGAAGAGCACTAAATTATTCATACTAGGATCTGACTAACGAAGATGCTAGCTCTGTCTGAGATTCCTCTCCACTCAGCGCAGTCATAATTTGCCAGAATTGCCACTATCATGTCAGCTGCCTGACTTGTTTATAGGGTCCCCTTAATTTTAGTTTTTAGTGGGAGGTTAAGGAGAAATCTTTTCTCCCTCAGTATATTGTAAGAGAGTGAGGAATACAGTGATAATAATGAGTGAGGATTTCTTAAATATACTTTTTTTTTTTTAATTCTAGGAATGAGGGTAGGATAAATCTCAGAGGTCTGTGTGATTTACTCAAGTTGAAGATAACCTCCAGGCCATTCCTGGTCAACCTTTTAAGTAGCATTCCCAGCATTCACATTTGATACTGCACATCAGGAGCTGTATCATCTTTCCTGGGTGATTTGGATTTTCTCCATTCAAGAAGCTTGTGTCTCTGAGGTACGATGCTTTTATTGGGAGGAAAGGAGGCAGCTGCAGAACTGATGTGACCTGTAATAAAGGTGGGGCCAAAGTTATAGCTGCAACTTAGTCTCTACCTAAGAAAATGCCTCTGGGCATTTCTTTTGAAGTATAGTATCTGAGCTCATGCTAGAAAGAATCAAAAAGCCAGTGTGGATTTTTTTACTGTAATAAATAAGGCAAAGATTTCTATTCCAGTGAGAATAAAACCTCTCTGCTGAGTTGTGAGGGATATGTTGTATGTTAGAGAGAACCTTAAGGAGTCTCTGTATGGGCCATGGAGAGTATGTGATAATATACTGTGATTTTCATGAAGAAACTCTTCTGCCTTAGAGTTCTCCCCTTCTGCTTGAGATGCCAGAGGTGTGTTGTCATACTTTATACCCACAAAACAAGACACATTTCCCCTTTAAAGCCAAACAGAGATCACTGCCAAAGTGGGAACACTAAGAGGTGGGTGGGGAAGTGAAATGTTAGGCAGTGAATTCCTAAGCTGTCTTGAGAAACTTAGCTACTTCTCAGGTTCATAGCTGTTCTCTGCCCTTCCAAGCCTGTGACCTTGGGGAACTATCTTTTGTTCTTTATCCTTTGTCTTGTTTGAATGGGTCAGTCCCAGAGGAACTGATAAGCAAATGGCAGGTTTTTAAAGGAAGGGTGGAAAGTACAGCAAATAAAAATCCTTATTTGTTTTTGTAGACTTTTGTCATGCATGTCATTAGCCTCACTCTGATCATGACTGGCGTGGCTCTGAACTGCCACACAGTACATTGAATGGAAGGTGCCCGCACACCAGCTGAGAACTGGTTCTGACCTAGGTGGGCTCTAGAACCATTTACATAGCATGAAAGAAACAGGTTGGTTCAGGAGCAGAAAGAAATAAGGCTCACACCCCTCCAGACACCACCTTATAAGCACTGCAGAACCTGAAACAGATGGCAGAAGGAATGGAATGCTGCAGGGGCCAGCCGAAGTGACCACAGGGAGGAGACAGCTCAGTGACTGGAGCGTTCAGGAAGAGGCTTTCCGGGGAACACTGGACATTGCTTAGTGACCTTTGGTTCCTTCATTTTTATTTTTATTTTTTTTCTTTTACTTTTCTGAAGGACTTTGAGTCTGTGGTTCACCATCATCCCATCAGTGTTTCTTTGAGGTGATTGCATTAGGGAAGTTGGCTTTGGGGTTGCAAAAAAAAAAAAAAAAAGAGGGAGGTAGAACTTGTTTTCCTTAAAACATGGAAGGTTTTAGAAAATATACTTGGCCATCTGGTTAGAAAAAAACAGACCAGACTAGAAAAAGCTGTGAACTTGATTTTGTAGATGAAACAAAGCCAGATAATTAAAATGTGATGTAGTTATAAAGGGTACTAATAGTTATTATGATGATTTTGTGATTTTTCCTTAGGGGGTATGAGTGAGGGAAGCTGTATATCCTTTGTTGGATTAGACACATATAGTGAATAGGGGAAGAGTTTGTCAAGCTCACTATTGGAATTTACCCTGCATATGTAATGTGGTTACATTTTTAAGACCTCAGCTATCTAGGGATATTGGTCTCTTGTAGGGACACATGGGATGAAGGTCTCTAGTGAAATCTACTAAAGGCCCATGTTAGAAGAGTGATCATGAGCCAACACTGAGGTAATGGCTGTAGTCTATCTAAAGTGACCTATGTTCACGCTACCACACGTTGTTACAGACTTGCCAGCTGGAATTTAAAATAAGAGACTGGGTTTTTGGTTGTTTTTTTTTCCTGAAGCCCTTCTCTCTTTGCATAACATAGTGTTTGGCATATAGTAGGCAGTTAATTTTGGTTGTAAATTATGGTTTGTATTTTATGAATATGATGGCAAATTTTGAAGATCCATACATAAGTGCTGGAAGGTAGAGAGAGAGAAGAATAAACATTTTGCCCCAGAGAAAATCATGTGTTATGTAATAATTTTAGAGTGATGGAGATAAAGATATTTTTATAATTTTAAAATAAGCCATCCTGCCAGTGTATGAGAAGATTGACAGAACCAGTTTGCTTGCTCTCTATTTATAGAACTTGGCCACATCTAATTCAGAGAAGCTAGAGATTTAGGGAAGCTAGACTTAGATGGTTGAGTAATATGGGATGTGGTTCAAGGACCATAGAGCATGTCAGGCCATTCCTGTAAACTACTCCTAACTCGTGAAATGTGATATATGGCTAATTTCCTGTTGCCACTGGGGAGAGGTGGGGATCAACATTTTTGCCATGGTTTGTCAGATTCCTTTAACCTTGGGCCAGTCTCTTAACAGTGGCCATTGAGAGAGAGCATGTGGAATGCCCCTTGCCTTGCCTTGGCCTGCCATGGAAAAACAATCTTAGAAGAATCACTGTCTAAGGGTAAGATGAGAGCTCTGTAAACTATTCTGAGCTTCAGCGTTTGCTGAGGCAAAGCTAAATTTAGCAAACATGTGTCCGATGTGGTCAGAGGTTCTGATTCATTAGGGGTTCTGATTCATTGAACGTTCTGATTGATGGAGACAAGAGTTTCAGTGAATGTTCTAATGCGTTAAGTTTGCTCTTTACTCTCCCTGCTGTTATTTTTACAATGGACAATTTAGCTACCTCGTTATGTCTTTAAGTACCAAATCTTACTGGAGGACTGTAGGTGGAGAAAGTGTAAAAACTCTGGTCATGTGTATACTGAACCCAGTACCGCGTTAGTATGAGATCAGTTTGAAAACAACCCCCTATTTACTTTCCCATAATTTGTATGTCTCATGAAAGTAGAAGGCTGACTGTGCATGGCAAAATTCTATTACTTTCGATTCCACTCAGAGTTTAGTGATCCATCCTGGCACCTTTGGCATGTAAGCTCTTACAGAAAATGTCCTAGAAATTCTCTAACTTTCATACTTGGCATTACAGATGCCTGTTAATATTACAAAGCTTGCTCTTAATGTAGGTGTCTTCACTCAGAAGAGTTACAGCATAGGAAGTATCTTGCCCTAAGTTATTCCTCTGTTTCGCTACTTTGTTTCCTTTTGAAAACATTTTGATTAAAAACCTGGCCCTAACGGCGTCTTTGAAACACAGGCTTGGGGTAAAAAGACAAAAAAAAAAAATAACTTCTAAAATCCCCTTTCTCTGCATCCATCATTAGACCCAAACACTTCCTCCACACAACTACAGATCTGGGAAGCATAACCAGGCACACAAAGCCGTCTATGCCCAGTTTACTAACTAGGAAGCCTCTCGGGTTTGCTCTAATGAAGGAGGTGTCCAATCATTGTCCCTGCCCTTGCTGTTATCAACCAGGTGGCTTTAATGCTATCATAGAAAAATGTGGACTAAGGCCAAGGTAGAAACTTTATGGTAACAGTAGCATAGTTTAGGAGAGAAAATATTATTTTAATCTGAATTCCAAGGACATGGCCTGCAACAATCATGCTTCCCCAGGAAATTCTCAGGAAGTCATTAATGGTGAAGTGAGATGGCCTTAAATTTGTTCCTCCTACCCTGGTGAGAGCAGAAACAAGAACTCAGGGTCCGGCCAACATTGACTGTGAACGTCGTTCGTGCCAGAATCTGAGCTAGGTGTGGCAGAGGACACAGACTTGAGTCAGGATGTAGTTTTTCCTTTGCATGAGCTCAGAGACCAACTCAGGTGGGAGCAGGGGGCAAGTCAGACAAGGTCACAAAAGACAGTACCAAGACGGCATGTGAAGAGTGCTGTGACCAGCCCTAATGGCCGTAGGAAGTTAAGAACACAGTGGGCTGCAGAGAACAGGAAGTGCATCTTAGGGCAGTGGTTCTCAGAAGTGAGCCCACATCACAATCACCTGGAAGGCCCCACTCCAGAATTTGGGATTCAGTAAGCCTGGTGTGGGGCCTGAGAATTTGCATCTTTAACATCCCAGGTGATCCGATGCTGCTGGTCCAGTTCTGGGACCGACTTTGAGAACCAGTGACTTAGGGGAAGTCTTGTTTGAGTTGAGCTAGAAGGATTAAAATTTGGCAGATAGGTGAGTGAAGGCAGCAGTTGTTGGAGTTATGAACAAAGGTATGGGAAGAAGAGTGAGGGGATGTGCTGGGAAATGGTAAGGAATCCACATAGAGAAATGGCGGCAGATGAGGATGGAGTGATGCCAGAGGGCACCCTGTAGAGTCTGTGCCTACTCTGGAGGGAAGTGAGGAGCCGAAGGTTTTGAGCAGAAAAGGCATCTAACCATAATTACATTCCAGGAAAATGTGGCAACAGTGTTAGCAGTATTTGCCTAACCAATTAACTGTGTTGAGAAGGAATCTGAGGCTGAGGATGGACCCAACCCTGTGATGAGTGGTTTTTGCCAAGGGTAAAGAAATAGAGAAGGGCAGAATTTTGCCATCTGTATGTTATCCCTGAACTACAGGGACACAGATTAGGAGAACCTTGGGATAGTTGTGATAGCAGGTAATCAGGAACTATAGTCCTTCAGTCATATATAAGGACTTTATAAGATAGCACTGTGGAAATGGATATAAAAGATACTGCTAAGATAGAATCTACTAGATATGGACACTGATTGATTCATTTACTCGGCAAAAATGTGTGAAAGAAGCCAGGGATAAGAATAAAACGTAAACCCTGCTCTCAAGTTACAGCCTAGAGAGGGACTGTGGCAACAGAGATGTTCCTGAGAGGCTTCCTGGAGGACATGTCTGAATGGAGGCACAAAGTATTAGTAAATGTTGGCCAGGCAAACTGGTGGTGTGCTGGGGAGCAGGGGTAGGCCGAGGAGGAGAGTTTGATGTTCTAAGTATGAGCAGCCATGGAGACAAGGATGATCCATGAGGACTGCAAGTTGCCGGGTTGTAGAGGATAAGGGAAGGAGTGGTAAAGCCAGGTGAGGGCAAATGAGGGCCAGATGCTCCAGGGCAGAGACCTTAGAATGTGTGCGGTGGACCAGGAGAAGCATCTAAGGTCCGAAAGGTTACTGGGGTCATGAAGGGTACCTTTATAGGAAAGAGATCTGGAGGCTAGGAGACCCATTAGGATGCTGGTGCAGTTGTCCAGGCACTAGAGGACCTGTAATTTAGGGCAGTGTGAGGGGTAGCAGAGCAGAGAGATTAGCAAAGTGGGACTCTGTGGAAGTAGGGAGCAGAGGACTTGTGGACAACTGTGGCTTCTGTGGATGTGGGTTGGGTAAATGGTCATGCCCAAAACAGGGCTGAAGGCCAGAGGGGAGAGGTTTGGTTTAAGAAGGGAAACCATGAATTCTGTTTATTAGATTGTGAGCTTAAGGTACTTGTGGCCCCTCCATGTGCCAGCAGCTGGCTGGACATGAGTCTGAAGTTCAGGATTGAAGTTCGGGCTATAAGTAATGATCTGGGAGTCATTATCATTTATGTGGCTTGAAATCATAAGGGTAGATGAGATCACTCATGGAGGAGTCAGCAGAATAGTGGTCTGGGAATACCAACAAGGAAGTAGGCAGAAGAGGTGTAGGCCCAAGAAAAAGGGCCAAGGAGAGCCGGGAAGCTTAGGGAGTAGGGCCTTTCCAAAAGGGAGATGGCAGCAGCAGAGAGGTGATGGAGAGCAAGGAAAAGCAATGTGTCAAGCTGCTCAGGGCTTGGAAAATGGGAAGAGGCTACTGATAAAAACTGGGGAAGCAGAAAAGGGCGGTGGGAAGATGATTCACTTTGGGAGTGCCATGTTTTTGATCATGTCAAACAGCTGGAATTT